GTACAAGGACATGGTCTCTACTGATGAGTTGACCTCTATTATTTGCGACAGCTCAATGAGGGATGATTTCCTTGAGGAGGATTCTGATATAAAGGATGATGGATCCATCCCTACCACACTAATTTCTAAGGAAGAGAAAATAAGGATAAGGTCCCCTTGGCTTAATTCTATCATCATCAAAGCTTTTGGCATGGACAAAGCAAGATACAATTTCATCCTACCCAGAATTAGAGCACAATGGAAACCAAAATAAAAAATGGATTACATCAACTTGGGGCTTGACTTCTTCCTGATCCGTTTTCAAGAAAGGGAGGATCTTAATAAAGTTCTCCATGGAGGTCCCTAGTTTGTAGGACTGTATTTTCTCACTATCAAAAAATGGGAACCTTCTTTTAATCCAGAAAAAGCCACATTCAAGACTACTGCTATATGGGCAAGGCTCCCAAGGCTCCCTGTTGAGTACTGTGACTTTCATATCTTAGAAAGGATAGGAAAGATGTAGGGCACTCCTTTACGGATCGATGCTCACACAGCTCACCAATCCAGAGACCAATATGCTTGCATTTGTATTCAAGTTGATTTAGATGAGCCACTAATCCCCTATGTTAGAATATGGAATCATGTTCAGAAGGTTCTTTATGAGGGACATGTTGCATTGTGTTTCTCCTATGGCTATGTCGGGCATAAAGAAAACGGTTGCCCATTAAAGATGTCACAAAACACTACAATTAATGAGAAGATGGAGGCTAATACTCAACCCCAAGAGAGCTCTGATGAAAGACAACAGACTGAGCATGATGATTCTCAAGCTTTTGGTCCTTGGATGTTAGTGGAAAGAAAGCGAAATAAGAAGAAAGCAAGCTATACTGTGAAATCTAATCAACCCAATATGGCTTTGGACAAACAAAGTGGTTGTAGTCAATCTAACCCAGTGAGTTGACACAGTGGAGGGAGAACTGGGTCAAGAACACCTTACTCGGAAGAGAGCATCAACTCTGACGGAGCAATAAATGATGCTACCATTGCTTCCAACGAAAATAAGGATAATAACATTGGCTCTAATCAAGTTTCTAATATAGACAAAACCTAAACATCAAGGGAGGTAAGCCCAAAAATTATGAATACTCAAGTTAATTTTAATGAAAACTGTTCTTTGCATGCTTAACCCATGAAAGGAAAGGATAAGATTGCTTCAAAAAAGATATCTGATACTGCCACACTTGAAAAGACAACCAATCTTAGGAGCGCTGGGAGTCACAGTAAGAGTCAACCTAATTTCAAGAACAATTTGTTTGAGAGATCAAATTGCACCAATAGAGCACTAGATAATCGATCCGATAAGGTTCACAACGCTTAGCCATGTTTGGGATGTTTATCTGGTCAACAACACAACAAAGTTCTCCAAATGGAGGAGGCTCTTTCAATGATCATAGAAAAAGTTCCAACATTAAAGGAAGGTTAGTAGATCAAAGAATTGGGAAACTGCTAGCTCAAGTCGATCTTGGTTAAGAAAAGAGTAGATCCCATCCCATTCCTCGCATCACCGAGGGAGTGAATTCCCCTCTCTGCTCAACACCAGTCTCTGGATTCCTGCATTCAGAACCTAGGTCGATGGATCTCAATGGAAGAGATGGTACAATGGAACGAGTGGTCGGAGCCAATCTCTTCGAAAATAACCATAACTCAAGTGGATCATCCTTATCTTCACTAGATCAGGATAATAGGATGTATGAAAAGTTTCCATCTAATAGTACCAAAAGAACAGATCAAGCAAATCAAAGGATTTTCAATTCAAATTGATTTTCAATTCAAATTGATTGTCCTTTCAAACTACTTCCCATATGTGAATTTAATGGTGCTGAATAACGCAGGACAACCAGTCTGGTTGTAGGAGCTTGCACGATGAATGATGATGACCTTTAGTAATAGAGCGTGGACAATGAAAGTCATGTCATGGAATTGTCGTAGAGTGGCTAATGAGAAATTCAAGCATAACACTATGGATATCATTGACAAGTATAATCTTGGTATCTTTGTCATCATATAGACTAAGATTGTTAGAGCAAAAGCACAAGAGATAATAGAATCTCTCAAGTTCCCAAAGGTGGCCATTGTTAATGCAGATCGCTTAGTAGGAGGGATTTGGCTTCTTTGGGATGACAACCATTTCAAAGTAGATATTCTTAATAAGGGATCTCAAGTCATTCATGCTACAGTTCAGGTAAATTCTCGCTCACCTTATTCTAATACTAGTTGGTTTTTATCTGCTGTTTATGGTCGTCCCCAATTTGAAACTAGATGTCTTCTTTGGGAGAATCTCAAACAATTCTCGCAAATTTCTCATGGTCCTTGGTTGGTTATTGGGGAATTTAATGATATTACAGGGCAGCATGAGAAATTTGGTGGGAATCTTGTTCCTCAATACAGAATCAGAGCATACATTGAGTGTATGAATTCTTGTGACCTTTTAGATCTTGGTTACACCAGGGCTAAATTTACCTAGGTGAATTAACGTGGATCTAAGCAATTGATTAGAGAAAGACTACATAGGGCTTGGGCCAACCTTTCTTGGAAAGTTCTCTTTCTTGAAGCTATGCTTTAACATCTACCTCGTTTGCACTCTGATCACTATCCCATTTTGTTATCTTGATCCTTCGATCCCTCGATTTGTTAAAAAGCCTTCTAGACTTGAAAAGTTCTGGATGGAACACGAATCTTTTAGAGATATGGTTATGAAAGATTGGTCCAACCCAAATATTCCTTTGCATCAATGCTCGGCTATCTTTAGAGAATCTTACAAAAGATGGAGCAAGGTTGCTTTCCCTAATTGCTATAAAAAGAAGAAGGAACTTGAGGCTCGATTAGGTGGAATCCAATGTGCCCTCCAACACAATAATAGTTCCTTCCTTCTTAATCTTGAAGATATTCTTACTAAGAAGTATCAATTCATCCTTAAATCTGAGAAAGACTTGTGATTCATGAAGCCTCGACTTTAATGGATCTAGGACGGTGATCATAACTCCAAATATTTCCATGTGGCTACCCTTAAGCATAGGTCCTATAATCATATTATAAGACTCAAAGACCTTAATAACACTTGGGTTTATTTTGTTGATGGTATCAAGTCCTTTGTCAACTTGCACTTTCAAAAGCTTGATACCTTTTCTCATACTCACTCCTTCCATGACTCTTACAAGAATGTCAAGTTTGGTCTTGCCATTCACCCCCTTAGTTGGCAATAAGTAAGTGAGGTTCCTCTTGAAAGTGACATCTAGAAGGCTCTCAAGTCTATGCAACCATTTAAGGCTCCTGGTTCTGATGGCCTTCATGTAGGTTTCTTTCAAAATTTTTGGGATGTGCTCAAGGATAAACTATGTCTTGAGATTACTAATATCTTTTCTCTTGCCAAGATTCTAGAAGATTAGAACTTGAGTCTATTAACTCTTATTCCAAAAGTGAACAAACTTGACACTGTTGCTCAATTTCGACCCATTAAACTATGTAATGTTACTTATAAACTAGTTACAAAGTTAATAGTTCTTAAACTTAAGCCCATTATGGAGGATCTCATTTCTCCAATGCAGGCTAGCTTTGTTCTAGGGTGTAATGGTATTGATAATGTCCTCTTACTTTGAGAGTTTGTCTTTTTTTTTGGCAAAAAGAAAGGCAAACATGGTGACATGATTGTCAAAATCTATTTGGAGAAAGCTTATGATTGTATGGAATGGAGTTTCATTAAGGAAACTCTTATCTTCTTTAACTTTCCACCAAATCTTATTTCCTTGATTATGTCTTGTATTTCCTCTGTGAATTGGCTTGCATTGTTAATGGGAGGACTTTGCAATCCTTTTTACCGTCATGAGGCCTGAGACAAGGAGATCCTTTTTCTCCTTATTTGTTTATTCTCAGCCTGGAATATCTCTCACTTCAACTAAGCCAAGATACTAATAATGGAGGTTGGAAAGGCTCTAAGATTGTGAGGTCAGGTCCAATAATCTCTCATCTATTTTTTGCTGATGACCTTATTTTTATTGGCCTTATTTTTATTGGCAAAGCCTCTGTGTCTAATGCTTTGTACCTCCAGAACCTATTAAAGTTCTTTTGCACTCGTTCAAGTCAATGTGTTAATTAAAGCAAATCTAAAATCCTTTTCTCTAGTAATGTCAAGAACTCTACCAGAAGAGATATCTGCCAAATTCTTGGGTTTGTGGAAACTAATTCCCTTGGGAAGTACTTGGGGATTCCTGTTACTCCCGAAAAATTTTCAGCGAGATTGTGGTTTCATTGTGGATAGAGTTAGGGGGAAATTGGTCGGTTGGAAAGCTAACATGCTTTCCTTGGCGGGAAGGGTCACACTTACTTCATCTATTCTATCCACCATCCCCAACTATTGCATGCAAGCTATGTTCCTCCTAGCCTCAATTCACAATGAGTTAGACAAAATTTCTAGAGATTTTATATGGGGATCCAATAAGGAGAAAAGGAAAGATCACCTTTTTTCCTAGGGGAAAGTAACTCAACCAAAAAAATATGGTGGTATCGGTGTTAGATCTATGAGAGAGGCTAACCAAGCCTCTATGGCTAAGCTTCAATGGAGGCTGGCAACTGATCAAAATAGTCTTTGGTCCAAAGCTCTCAAGCAAAAATACAGGATTGAAGGACCTAAGCACAATTTGTCTAACTTACCTTCACCTGTTTAGAAGGATATTGCCAAAGGCAATCATATCTTCCAAACTGGTATATCATGGATTCCTAGAAATGGACAAAAAAACTTGTTTTGGAAGGACAAGTAGTGTGGCAACCAACCTCTTGTCTGTTCTTTATGGGCCTTTTAGACCGTTTGACTTGAATATTACAGTTGCTGATGTCCTAACTCCTCATGGCACTTGGAATTTTGAAACCTGCCTTACCACCTCCCATTGAATATTTAAACTGAAATTCATGCTATTCATTTATCCCAGCACACCATTGAGGAAGATAATTTCATATGGAATTCCTCAGCTATTGGCAATTTCTCTAGGAAATCTGCATATTGTATTGCAAAAAGCTTGCCTAAAAATTCTAACGGGAAATGGTCTTGGATCTGGAAAGTGCACACCTTGCCAAAAATTAAATATTTTCTATGGCTCCTTATGCATGGCAGATTACTCACCTTTGAGACTCTTGCTCAATGGGGTATTGCCCAAGACAATAGTTGTTCCTTTTGTCATAATGCTCCTGAAACTCTCAATCATCTCTTTAGGGAGTGTCAAATGGCCACTGATATTTGGACTGTTATTTCCTTGCATAATTTTCCCATGTCTCATCACAATCTTGATTTCAAGGATTGGTTGCAAGCTAACTATATTAAAAATTGCAACTCAGTTGGCAACATCCAAAACTGGAGCACGCTCTTTACTTTCACCATTTGGATAATGTGGTTTGCTAGGAACCAACTTGTGCATAGTGGTGGACTAATGTCTATTGAACAGATTAAACATGCCATTCTTAACAGAGCCCAAGAGTTTCTTAAAGTTAATCCTCCTAATTTTAAACTTGGAAATAGGATTATCGTTCATATCAGTTGGACACCTCCTCTAGTTGGGTACATTAAACTGAATATTGATGTTTCAACTCAGGGTAACCCGGGTATAGTTGGAGCAGGGGGGTTTTCAGAGATCATTTAGGCAACTAGGTCACTGGATTTACCAAATGTGTGGGTAGAACCACAAGTTTGGCTACTGAACTCTGGGCCATTCGTGAAGGCCTAGAAATTGCTGTTAACAGGGGGTTTTCCAAACTCATTTTAGAAATTGATTCTAGTGTTGCTAAAATCTTACTTTAATTTGCAAATCATAAACTGCACTCACTTGGAGTTTTAATTAATGATTGCAGGTGGCTCATGCGTAGCTTTACTGATATTCAAGTGCTTCGTATCAATCGGGAAGTTAATGCGGCTGCTGATTTTCTTGCTGAGCATGGGACTAATTTTGAATGCGATTATGTGTTGTATAATGAATGTCCCATTGAACTCTCTTTTATCTTATTTGTGGCTATATCGGAACGATTGTTCCACGCTCTGTTGTAGCCGCTTAATATCTAATCTAGTATCTTTATTTACCCAAAAAAAAAGAAAAAAAGTTATGAACTTTCTTCAATTTAATAATTAAAAACTCAAACTTTAGTTACTCTTAATTAAGAATATTAATTATTGCTTTTTCATATTCATTAATAGATTTCAATATTTGATTATCTGCAAATTATTTATTTAAGAAACTTTATTAATTTTTTTTAATGTATCAGAGAGTTAACTGTTTGGTATTATAAATGTTTAAACTTTTAGGTTAAACTTCAAATTAAAGTTTTTAAGTTAGTATATATTAGCCAAGCATTTATTAGTAGAAAACTTCATTAATTACTCTATACTTAGTATAACTAATAACTTTAGAGTATTAAAAAAGTATTAAATTTCTAAATTACACTTTCTTTCTTTCCCTTACGTCCATCTTTGTTTTCAACCCATCATTGCCATTAATAGCAGGTTTTGAAGAATTTGCTAACAAATGTAAAGAAATTCAAATGGTGCCCAATTAACAACCACTAAGAAATCAAATTCTATTAACACAACTAATTTTAATAAGAAGGACATAAATTAG